TTAAAAATAGATAAATATTATTAAAAATATTAAATTTTTTAAATCACGTATTACCAATAGCCTTAATAAAATTCTTTTAGTTTAAATTTTAATCTTGGAGGATCCAATACCCCATAAGTACACAACAGTGTATTAATTTAAATAATCTATAATATTTAGATTTTAAAATGTTAAAATTAAAAAAAATTATGAAATAAAAAATTTAATCGTTAAATTATTGAAGATTTTAAATAATAATAATAATAATAATAAATGCATTAATTTAGTTTTGACAACATGAGGTAAATGTGTATTGCCACTTCGATATTTTTACTGAAGTGTAACGACGTATACTACTAAGGTTACCACATTTATCAAATTTAAGGATGATTCAGTGGGTTATAAAGCATTAATGTTTAAAGATATTTTATTTTTTATAGTTTCACTGTTTCAAAATACACATTCATTGCAACGATACTATTCAATAAATTTACCAAAATTAGATTTTAAAGAAGTTAATTTGATTCTTTAAAATGAAATAAAATAAAATTTGTAAAATAAATTTTAAAAATTAATATACAATATATATTTTAAAATTTTTATAGCGTGTAAGTCTAGTTTAATTCAAAATTTTATTATATATATATATATATGTCCTATAAATAATAAAATTAATTCAGTTAGGCATTGGAAAAACAATGACCTACAAAAATATCCGTTTTGATATTTTTCTTGGATAATAATAAAAAAATATATATTTTATATAATGAGTTCAGCTTATATAAACTCTTAAAATCTTAGATTTATATTCGAAGTAAGATCGATCACAATTTTTGAAATTATATAAAATAATATAAACTAGAATTACAATAGATTAACATATNATGTATATATATATATATATAAATTTAATTTAAAAAACTTTTAAAATAAAATTTATTTATTATTTTTCTAGTTTAAAATATTATATTCATGAATTTACTAAAAATATTTCTCGTAAAAAGTAACTCAAAAACTCAAAGCGATTTGCAGTTTTCATTTTTCTTATTTTATGTCTTCGTATGTATGCAATTTTGTAATGCACTTTGATCCATTATTATTTTTTTAAACTCCGAATTGCTTTCTTTGAATGATCTTAACATTTTCTATTCCACACAAAAAAAAAAACATTCGATTTTATGTCTTTGGATCCATTTCGAAACGGAAAAAAATTTTAATCAATTAAATATCAAACAAACATGCATCAGATAATTTGAAATCATTAATAGTAAGTCAATATATATATATTTTATAGTCTTTGTTGTGATTACCTTTCCTGTTTTTCAAATTACTTTGTTTCCTCAAGAGGAAAACTACTAGACTATCGTGTTTTTATTGATTCAAAGTTGATTAAGAACAAATTTACGAATGGTTGTCTATAGCTTAGAGTATTATTAGACTTTAAATTTTTAGTGGAAATGTTTATTAAAACTACTTCATAATTTTATATTTTGTTTTTTTTTATAAAAAAAAATCTAAATAAACTTTAACACATAATTTTCACTTAAAATTCTAATTAATTATAATTAACGAAGTATTATAAACTTAAGATGGCATTAAAATAGATTGAAAAGAAGAAACTCTTAAATAAAATTGGAAAGCTTACAAAAATCTGGTGAAAAATTCTTTAAATTTATATAAAAACTTTCTTTATACATCCAGAAAACAATGAGATAACTTATAGTTTTTTTTTCATTTTGTTTTTAATTTATAAGATATATAAAGCCAAAAAACTTTTTTCCTTTTTTTAAAATGGCGAATTTTAGATCGTTGTAAGCGTTTTTATCGTTTCAATTCTAGATTGCATTTTTTTAAAAATGAAGCTTTTTATGTGAGTAATTTGCATGAATATATTTCGTGCCTCACAACCATTCCATTCATTGTTCATGATAATGGGTTTAAAGCAACAAAACAAACAGTAGCACAGATGATATTGTGGTAGCCTGCAAGTTATTATTGAATTTATGAGGCCTACGCCAAGAACGATTATAAAATGTTCATAATACATATCGTATCTACACGTTTGCACGTTTACATTTACACGTTTAATATAAACATAAAAAAAAATTCAAGAAAAGTTCCGAGAATGTATAGATATACTAGTAATATTATTATAAATTCTCAGAAATTTTCAATTTTGAGACGACGAATAATATTTATTTATTTATTTTAGTGATATTCTTCCATTAAATCTATGGAGCTTGGGGCGAGCAATGTATAAAAGTCAAACATCATTTTGTAAGAGTGACACATATAAAAACAATTGCCTCGACAGGATATTACTTTGGAGATAAAGAAAAACTTTAACAAAAGAGATTTTTAAATTAAACTTTCTTAAAAGAAATGATGAAAAATTTCCCTGTTTACGAAAATACCAGGATATTATGGAAGGTGAAAGAAACCCATTTCCTCTATGTCACATAATTATATCAAAAAAAAAATTTTTTTTTTTAAAGTAAGTCTGTAAGTCTGTTCGTATAAAAGTTACTTAGACTTAACAATCTATCCGTGTAAATTTTTTCGATTAAAAACATTTAAATTTAATAGCTTAATTTCTTTTTAAGTACGATTTTGATATATTTTAACGTGAGATAAGTCAGATGTTGTTTATTTAGTTTAACATCGTTGAAGACATCAAACTGAAGCTCAAATTTTCATATTTTAAGCATCACGTAAATATCCAGTTGCAACAGAAAGCATAAATAAAGTAAAGCAGTATCAGACTTCAACGTTTTAGTAGCAACAGTTTCGAGAAGTATTTTTGTTTTTCTTTTTTATTGTCTGTGAATTATTCAAAACAGTTAGATACGAAGAAAGAATCGATTCTATCTCTAGGCTGTCTTTGAAATTGAATTTCTTTTGAGTAAAAATAGGAAAAGTATGTGTGTTTCTGATGTCATCTTGTCGTCACCATCTGTTCGGGCGAGTTGATCATGTGTTACAATGAAGATGAGCTTTGTTTGCACATGTTGATAGCATTTTTGATATTTTAATAACTAGTTATAGTGGAAAGTAACATAATTAAGGTCAGATTAAAGAAGAGTAAAGAAACATTATGGAATATAAATTGCTATTTAGTAAGCTCCACATTAATCTTATAAATTCATTAGGATCATAAAAAAGGATATCGAGAATTCATCATTGCAGAAATATTACATTTTATGTTTACTGTTAGGTTATCAGTTTGCTGTCGTTTGTGTAGATAACAGTTAATAAGAATGTAAAATTTAAGTATCGATTTACAAGAACTAATTTCGATATGGTAAAGAGGTCAAAAAGGTGATTTGACACGAGCATTCATCAACACGCAATGGTGAGTGCTAAGCATAATAATGTAATTTTATTGTTTAAAAAAAGTTTTCATATTTATATAAGTCTTAATTTATAAACTTAAAATTAATCTGTTTTAAGTTTACTGAATTAAAATTATGAATAATTTCTCATATAACTTAAACAGATATAATGGATAAAATTGGCAAAGCGTTTAACGCTCGCATTTAATATAATATTGAGTAGTTGTTTGGGTATGTAAATGCTGCGTCATAATACTTAGCACGTTTATACAGGTATATTTTCTGGTTCTTTGATCCTATTATCACGTACACGTCGATAGTTTAATCGACTTCTACCCTATATGACGTCAAACAAAACATACCCTAATGCATTGTCTGGTATGTAAGAACAGCACTAAAATAATCGGATTAACTTCCTCCTTGCCAATTTTTTTCGGAAATATGAATTTTAAATCTATTTTTCTAAAACAAAATTTAACTCTTACACTAGTTAACTTATGAGCAGGTTACTTTCCAGCCATAAATGAAATAATTCTTTATTCCTTTTTAGAAATATAAACGGTTTAATTGCAAAAGTATCTAACTATCCACTTAGCATTAATAAAGAGAATAAAGAAAATAATTTTACTAATTCTGTNTTTTAATCTTCCAGATCAATAATGGAAGCTACAGGTTGTTATACGAAAATTAAATCTTAAAAATGAAGTCTACTTTCGTTGATTTATATAATTTTTACTATAAAGAAATGATTAATACATTTTGTTAATGACATAAACTAATTATCAATTTATTTTATCAATTATTTCTCACGTTTACAAATCATAAACAAAGGTTTTATATAAGCTTTTCTGTATATTCTAAGCTGGAGTTTCCTCCTTTTCCTTTATTTAGTATATCAAAAATATTAAATAAAAGAATTCTTCAGGCGTAAAACTTTAATATTTTATTCAAATTTCGTATGTGAAATTTTCACAAGTCAATAATTTACAAGACGAGTGACTTAATATCTTACTAGTAAAGTTACCATTAAATTATTAAGTACATATAACTGAAGGTCAATTTACCAAAATTTGAAATTAAAAAAAAAATAAATATTCTACAATTTTTTTTAAAGTGAAAAGAGTTGAATGATTCAAGTTCACTTCTAGAGTGACAATAACTGATGATGTTACGTAAAATCCTTCCTGAAACACGCAATAGAAAACACGAATATATTACAAAGAATGATTTTTAAATAACTAGCTTAATGTTTTAAATATAAAGATATAAAAAAAATATATATTAAAATAAATATGAAACAACTTGAACTTTGCATACAGACGAGCTTCGCAATTGTAACTATACACACATTACTGCATTTGACAGAATAAAGAATGGAAACCACGTGGATTGATTAGTTCTGTATATAGACATTTTCGATTTTCAATAAATAAAATTTATATTTTTATTACATATTTTTATTTATTTATTTTATTTTTTTACTTATAAAATAAGTTGTTTAACAACTATCTGCTTTCGGTGCTAAACCATCCGTGATTTAAAGCTATAAAATCTTGTTCAATAAAAGAAAAATATAAATTTATATATACAAAATTTTGATTGTGGAAGCTTCAAACAATATAAGATATTCTAATGTTGATTAAATTAAATTTTAAAAATAAAAAAAATAATAATAAATTGTGTACTTACGCAAAGAGTTGTAGCGTCGAATAATATTTTCCAGAAACGTGTTCTGTGGGGCAACTAGGCCTCTTCTTCCGCCTGGCATTTTGTCATCTCGGGTCCTTCGGAAGATAAACCTTTGGGGGAAGTCAGAGGTGAGAGGTCAACTTAGGGCAACATAGATCCCCTCCGCAGAGGTCAAGATACAGCCTTAGTGGCAGACCACCACATTTGCCGTCCCAACTCGTTTGACCAACGCCTCCCTGGCGAGGAGAGACGTTTCGGATGCGCATGTCTCGTCGCCATGACAACCTGGGATTCAGATGGCGTATTTGGACCAGACTCAGTTGAATTTAATTAAATTTTTACGGCGAATCTGAGCTTAGAACGATCCCCCTCCTCGTCAATGATTCCGTTCTGCATTTATTTGCGCATTCTCCGGATTTGTCATGTTAGAAATTCAAAATTTTCCTTTTTTAATGAAGTCGATGATGATAATAATGATGGTGATGATGATGAGGAAGAGGAGGAGGAGGAGGAGGAGAAAGAGATGGAGTAAAAGGAGAGAGGTGGAGAAGAAAGATAAATACTTTACAATTCATTTTTCAGATTAATTACAAATTTTTGTATCACATTCTAATTTTTCAGTAATGTAAATGAAGGAATTTTCATACGAAACTCGAATTAGCTCACGTGCACATCAATATGTTATTCTTTCATGCTTAATTATAGTCAAATTCTACACAATAAATCATTATTTTCTTCTTTTTACTTATTTTAATCAATATTATTTATTTTTTTTATTCGAAGAGATTTAACGCAACTTTATAGTAAATTTTTGTAATTCCTTTGTTGACCATAGTGTTCGACTGAAGATAAATTACCCCGTTAATACACTGCGAATAAAGTCGAGGACTATATCACGTGATAAATAGATATTTACGAAGTAAAACGACAAAAAAAGAAAAGCCAATAAAATAAATAAAATTTTGTATAGAAAAGTATTTTAACATTTTTTTTTTTTTTTTTGTTTTTCGTAAAGAAAGAGTAAGAAAATTAAATTCTTTCAAGAATTCAAAATACCACGTGATGTTTTTACATAANGACAAATTACGACAATATCAACAGACACTCGGCAACTGTAGTGATTAATGCTTTATTTATACACATTCAAGAATGTAATATTATTGCAGTATTTTCTATTGTAACATTCAAATTGGTTTTTAAAGCAAATTCGAATGTGTAGATAGTATATAAGGGAAAGTGGTGCAAGATGGAGCCATGGGGTAAGATGGGGACGTCTGTTTATTCGTGGTTAACGTGCTTAACCACGAGAATTCCACTTACGTACCAAGTGAACTTAACTTTTAATTTCAGGTACCAAAAATCGCATACGCGTTTACATACACAAATTCACAATTTGTTTAGAACTATGAATGCTTATGAGAAGAGAATAATAGAAATCAGAAGAGACTACACAGTTGGGCAGAAGAAAATATTAATAGACTTCTTGTCTGTGCTTGGTTGTATTCAAACAGTTGTTTCTATGTAGGCACATTATACACTACACTACAAAGATTTATTAGAGCCTACTGTACTGTATTATGAGTTAATAGTCAAGGCATGTTCTTTTTGGAATACGCTTATCAAAACAATCTTATACGCTTTAAGTCGAGTCCGCGGAAAAATACATTTAAAATTAATATTTTCAATTAGGATAATACATGTATAATTTATTAATAATTAAATAAATTTTATAAATAATTTACAATTTAAAAATTAAGAAATATTTCAGTAAAATTTCTAAAAAAAAACTTTATTAACTTTTAACAGTTCTATAGTTGTTATTTTAACTAAATTATAATTGTTATAATTTATTTATTCATAAAGAAAATAGAGAATATCAAAAATTCAAGTTGTAAATTCGCAGAATTGATATTAAATCAATCGATTATTCTATCGCTAATCAATGGTTTTGACAACGTATAAAATGGCTTTTTTATGTCCAACAGAATTATGCATAAAAGCCGAATGTTTAAATAACACAGAGAATTTTTTTTTGCTAAATTTTGTAAATTTAATGAATTTCTTAAATAATTTGAATATTAAAGAATATACCTTTTAGCATTTTTAAATAGAAAATTAAGTAAAATGACTCTAAATTAACATTATTACGAAGTGAGTTATAAAACGTGTACTGCTTCGTTCACGTTTTAAAAATGTGTTATAATTATTATTGTTATTATAACTCTGACAGAAAAATGTTATTTTTTTTTTAAAAATTGAGAAAATAATTACGTATTTTTCATTATAAAAATCATTAAAAATTGCCTTTAGTATAACAACTAATATATTTTTGCTGTTACCCGCGACTTCGCCCGCGGTAGTTCTGCAAGCAAACCCCATTTATATTCAGTATTTCAACAATCATAGTAATTGTTATATAACACCTACCGCTGAAATTGCGAATGGCTGTTTTTAATGTCAGTTGGGAAATCCTTTGAAACTGGACTTGGATATAGTGTCAAAATATTGAAAATTGCAAAAAGAATCAAGAGGATTCAAAATTTTACCAATCACCATATTTTCCCTATGTTATATTGTAAAATAACCAGAAATTAAAAAATAATTTAAATGTGTATTTAACAATAAATAAAAATTTACATTTTACTAATTAAAACTATAAATAAATCTTTGTTTACNAAAAATTAAAATTTTATATATTTTCTTTCTATAAGTACAGATAAAAATATAAATAAAAAAAGAGAGAATTATCTTAAATACAGTATAAAAAAATAACCCCGAATAGAAGTTTAAAATACTGAATGACTTAAAAAAAATTTAAGTAGATACAACATATTTTATTATAGTTTTTAAGTAAATGAAATATGCCAAGAATTAAAATTAAAATAATGTAATTTAGTTGCAAAATTTGTATAAATTCCTAACCTCTTTACTGACTGACGTTGAACTTTTCAACTGTTTTGTAGCAGTATTCAAAAATTTTAGTTTATTTTATTTATTTATTTTTTCTTACAGATATTTATAAGCATATCAAAATTTCGTGAACGTTTATTTCGATATTTCATTTTATTGATTGAATTCACCTGATTAATAGACCAGAAATTTCTTCGAACATCATCGTTTTCCTCGATAAAATTAATTTATATGTCATTATTATTTATATTTACTATATAATATATATATTTTTTCGTGTGTATTTTAATAAATATTTGCGAATTTAATTATATAATATTTTAATTTATTTTTAAAGTATATATACTCAGAATATATTCCGCTATATTCAATTTATATTTTGTTAACATACACGGTATATCAAGTACAGTATATTCAATTTACATTCGGTTTATACTTAATTTATACTCAATACACATTCAGTTTACTCTCACTGTATGCAAAATACATACTCAGTTTGGTATATTCAGATTTTTAAAATATTTTTCGGACTAAACCTCTGAAAAAAAACCTCTAAAAACCTCTAAAAGAACCTTCTGTAAATTCATACCAGTGATTATCAATAGAGTTTGTCATCATGATTTTATTTTTATTCATTTTTCTTTTGTGCTTGAATAAAAAAAAAAAGGTGATAGATCTTCAAAACTCTTAAAATATTGAAAATTCAATGTTACGAATAAATTTAAGAATGATAAGTCGAGTAAAGATAAATTTAATAAAACAATGTTCAAAGGCTGTAAATTGATTGATAATCAATCATACTTAAGAGTGTAAATTACTAGACACGTCTAGACATGTTTATAAGCTTTAAAAGTTAAAAAAATTCCATTAGAAAAATTCAGGAATTGAATTTATCATCTTTAAAACTGTTAACGCTGAATTAATGAAGTTACTTTAACTGATAATTCGTATTCATTGTTAAATCTCACGAGAAAACTTTATCGCGGTTGAAAAACTTAAAAAAAGAACATTTTACTTGTTATTAAATTCTTGTTAATTAATTTATATTAAAACATTAATTAGTTATTTATCATTATCATTATTAGAAACTGATTTAGTTCAATGAGAAATGAATTAATTAGTGCATTTCTCATTGAACTGAATGAATTTCTAAGAAAGATAATGGCAAATAAAAGCAATTAACAACTAACAATGGTAAGTTGATTGATTAGGAGCGTGGCGGTGATGCCAGGAAGATGTCTTTTGTCAAGATAATGTAAAGTTAACTTGAATAATGTCAACTTCCTGTCGGAACTAAGGGTATGAGGTCAGCAGGAGCCTTCTCTTTTACTCGTGAAGGTCTGCTGATGGAGAGAAGACAAAAGAGCGACCCGTAACTACCGACCCTTACTGAAGAATTTAACCATGCGATCCTTTGGGTGTCGACATTTTCCTTACACACTTCGTCGGATCGACCTCATCTCTCCGCTTTGGATCAACGTTTTAAATACCTAGTGATGGAAACTCATCTTGATGAATGAACTAACTCCGAGGTAAATTCATTATAAGTAATCATTATAAACTTTAGCGATATATTAAATTGTATGTAGTTATACTTTTTATCATCTTATTCAGCACAATTAATTTTCAATTATAGAAAGCCTATCTTGAGATCTCTTCACAAGATCTATACTGTTTTAATTCCAGTTTATACTCAATATATGTTCCTTTATATTTTTCTCTATCTTTCATTTTNTCAAGCAACAATACAAAATATAGAGTTAAAAAAATATAAAAAATTGACCTTAACAGCAATGACTAATTTATCATATAAAGTATATAGCGGTAAAATTTTAACAAGTGATTTATCACAGACGAATGACATTTTAATGAGTTACTCGATTGTAGATGATCCTAAGTAATTTATGTAATGTTGTATATCAAAATATTAAATTTCCTTTATTCAAATTTATGATTATTTTAATTTTCAGTTTTTTTCTCCCAAAAAACTTTTTCTTTGTTATATAAAATTTCAATTTTTTTTCTAAGAAAAGAATTTTAGCTTTAAAAAAGTTTTATTACTTTTGGGCTGCAATTTGAAAAAATTGTATACCTATAAATTCGCACTGTTGTCCGTCCGTCCGTCTGTCTTTTCTTAATCTCGAGAACGGTGTTATATACATGAAAGTTGAGACAGATACGAAAAACGTAGGGCCAGGAGGCCCGATTAACCGATTATATAAAAGCTTTAGGTACAAACTGGAAGTTACGTTGTTTCAATACAAAACTTTTCTCCTGAAAGGAGTTACGTAGATGACCTGCACGACTCTATTGTTAAAGGAAAAGTATGATGTACAGGGG